TTTTTTGATACCCAATAAATCCGGGCGATGATTTAAAACAGTTGACGGATAATTTATCGACACCATAGACTTGACTCGACTTGAATACTACCAATACTTTTGGAAGGCCCAAATTGGAGATGGATTGGTGGCTTTGTTTAGTGTGTAGTTTGGACCATTATTAGTCCATTAACTTCGCCCATCCTTGTTTCTAAGTTGGCCCAGTTCTTTGGCCCAATTAGTGTGACCTAATTTGTATTGGTATACATATTCATTCTTCTTGTAGAATTAAGAGTAGTGCAAAATTGAGAGAAGAGAAAAGAGAGGGAGTCGTTTTCTTGTGACTTGGTGTCCATTGCTTTCTTCTTGTTTATCTTCATTCCTTAGTGGTCTTTTGCATCCACCCATTACTAATCCTTCGTGGGTTAGTAAGAAGAGAGAATCTTGGAGCAACCAAGTAAAGGAAAGTATTTGGGAAGAACTTGAAGTCGTGTGGTGTCGATTGTATTTTTCTGAGCCTGGTTTTGGAGTAGCTTGGAGTCCAATAATCAACAATGTCAATATTAGCACCATTACATAAATGTTTCCTCCAAAGAGACTAAGAGAGTGGATGTTTACATTTTGTGTGGTCCTTTTGATTGGATGCAAATTTCATTCAAATGCATGTGATTTTAACATTATTAATAGCAACATGTGAGAAGGGGAAGGGCACATGTTTGGTCCACCTATTTCCTAAATTTTTAAATATATCTTTTTTTAAAAAAAATTGATTTCTTATGATTTTTAGATAAGCACCCTTCATATTTATTTAAATAATTATTTCATAATATTAAATAAACTAGTAATAAATGTAAAATTTGATTATAGTTGTCGAGAAGTGTTACATGGTGATTTTGAAATGTTTCATGCGTAATAGAAATAGGAATCAATTATGTATTATCCTAAATATGATGAGGATTAATTTGTTTGCTACATCGAACGAGACGGTAATTCTAAAATAAATACTCGTCTAGTTGTATTAACTCTATATATAAATCTCCGTGCAATGGATAAACAAGGGAAAATCGTAATGTGTCGTTGAATATGTCGTTATCGGGTAACAAAGAAATGTCACTTTTGTTCTATTGATTTGGGTTTTTTTCTTCCCCCTATCATTTCATAATTTTCCTTATTTTTCTATGAATTTTTTTTTGATTTATTTATAAATTTCTTAAAATCTAATAATGAAATTAAATTGTTGCTTATCAATTATGAAATAAAAATAGTACTAAGAGCGTGCCAAGCATGACTTCCAAAACAATAATAATAATAAAATTATCCTATGCAAAGAAGTGGAATACCATCTAGTAAATACATTCGATTTATACAAAGTTGTTGGTATGTGAAGATGCCGATTCAACTCTTGTCCCAGCTCCAATTTTTTTAAAATTCAATTTCAATCACACATTCTTCTATAAAATAATTTTACTTGTAAATTTAATTTTTTTTTTCTATTTTTTAACGACACGTTCTTCAAAAATCACTATTTCAAACCATAATTTTCTGAGGTGAGACGGGGCCTTAAATTGATTGATTTATCAATGAGATTAGGGGCCACAATTTATTTTTTAGCATTCAAGTCTACTGAAAACAATGACAAGTCATAGAAAAATAATAAATCATTTTATATCAATAAACCACGTGTTTCACTACTTGTAGAGAGCCACCAATAATTCACCTTAGTACGTACATAAGGCCGTTAACGTTCAATTTCACATCAATAGGGTTTTCGATGAGAAAGATGGTGAAGTCTCCTTTATTTATTTGGATATTAAGAAGAAAGTGAGACCAACTTTATTTATTTATTTATTTGTCTAGGAAGTTGAACGTGAAAGAAATGAGAAAAAGATCGTGTACGTGTGATGGGCAACAATCTTTATTTATTTATTTATTTTTCAGAGTATCAAGCGTAGGGTGCCAAAAACAAGTTATAAATAGCGAGGTATGTATAAATTTACGAGAATTGTGTATTTATTTCGTAATCAATTACTTTTAATTCTAAACAACTTATGTTTCTTTGATAATATTTTTGAAAAGTCAAATGTTGTTTCGAAATTAAGAAATTGTTTTTGAATTTTTTTTTGAAAGTATTTTGTGTCGCTAGAAATGATATTAGAGAAATTTAATTTAATATGACTTTTTGAGAAGCTTTTCTACGTAAAACAGAACCCTTGTTTGGTTAGATTTGTTTTAATACTTAGAGAAAAGCTTTTAAATGTTTTTCAACAATTTTTAGAGACATTGATTTTGGGAGCCTACGACTTCGACTCAACTTGCATTTTTCTACTTTTTAATTTTCAATTTTTTCGTAATTGACTAATACATATTTTAATCGTTGATCAACATGTCTAAAAGATCTCTTTCAAGTAGGGTTAAACATATTCTTATATACAAAACATTCTTATGTCTTTACGAAATATATATAAATATATATAAATATTCATATTTCTTCCCTATTGCACTTCACACTGCTAAAAATATGCTAAAATCTTTCTTGCAACCCCTCGAAAATAAAGTAAGTCACAATTTATTCAAATTTCGATCAAGTAGTTGAAGGTATATAAGTTAGCAAAGAATTCGAGAACTGGAAAAATCAAATCATTATTCCAACTGAAATCCATCTTTTGTATCTCAACTTTGCAAAAATAGCGTTACCATTGGTATATACTTCACCGGATGAGCCAAGCCCAGCTCAAAACTTTTGCTCTTCTTCAACATTGAACACACGCAGATATGTAGAGAGAGCATCTTCTTCCGGGTTACTTCATTTTATAAGGTTCTTTTCTTGATTTAAAATGGTCAAATAAAGCAAGCACCGCACAACCACCACATCCCAACCATAAAAGAAACACACCACCAAATCCAACACAACCAACCACACAACCAATAGACCACCAAAACACAATCAACACACCACCAACACCAATCGACGCCATCGCTGGAGACCCAGCCAAAACGGCACGCCGACGAAACTCCCACAACAGCAGCACCCCACCTGCTCCGTCCACATGAAGCCAGAAACGACCAAGGCCTGCCTCCCTTTCCAGCCAAACCTCGCTCGCCTCTCCCCACCGACGACAGCACGCCCGAGCACCACCATCAAAGCTAAGCCAACCACACCACCACCCCACCCAAATCCCGCCAGCAAAACGGCGAAACCACGGGCAAAATAAGGAAAAACACAGAAAAAACGGAAGAAAAAGGGGAAAAAAAAAGGGGGACAAAAGGGGAAAAAAGGGGGAGAGATGAAAGGGGAAAAGGGGAAACCCCAGCCAACCTTCACCAGCCGGAAGGAGGGAAAACTTCACAAAGAAGGAAGAAAACCTTACCACGCAGGGGGAAGGACTTAGATTAGTTTTTATACTTAGAGAAAAGCTTTTAAATGTTTTTCAACAATTTGTAGAGACATTGATTTTAGGAGCCCACGACTTCGACTCAACTTATATTTTTCTACTTTTAAATTTTCAATTTTTTCGTATCTAAAAGATCTCTTTCAAGTAGGGTTTTAAACATATTCTTATATACACCTTTCTTATATCTTTACGGAATATATAAATATATAAAAACAATGAGCATTCAATAAAAGATCATATAGAGCATACGGTGTATGTACATATTTCTTCCCTATTGCACTTCACACTGCTAAAAATATGCTAAAATCTTGCTTGCAACCCCTCGAAAATAAAGTAAGTCACAATTTTCGATCAAGTAGTTGAAGGTATATAAGTTAGCAAAGAATTCCAGAACTGGAAAAATCAAATCATTATTGGAACTTTTGTATCTCAACTTTGCAAAAATAGCTTTACCATTGGTATATACTTCACCGGATGAGCCAAGCCCAGCTCAAAACTTTTGCTCTTCTTCAAATTTGAACACACGCAGATATGTAGAGAGAGCATCTTCTTCCGGGTTACTTCATTTTTTAAGGTTAAAAAGAACTAAATTTTACCAGTTTAAATTCATCGTCGACAACACTCCATGACTATAACAAAAAAAAAAAAAAACAGAAACGTAGATTATGTATGCGTGCACACATGAATATATGTATGTATACACGCATGTGTTCATCTTGTTCTTTATCGGTTCCTAAAAAAATATATGTATGTATACACGCATGTGTTCATCTTGTTCTTTATCAGTTCCTAAAAAAAATATTCTTTTGCGTCTCCTATACGTTTTTTTTTCCTTATTTGGATTTTAGTGATTAGAGGTATTTGCTTTAGGTAGTTAGTTTAATGGATTTTTTGAACCCCTTTTTGGATTTTTATTTTGGGTCTAACTTTCGTGACTTTCTTTTACTTGATTTCAGGAATCCGTTGAAATTATAAGCAATTTTTGGGTCTTTTTGATTGAAATATTGGGTGGGTGCCTTGGATTCTTGTAATCGGATTACATTTGAAGAATCCCATGGTTTTTGGTGATAATTGTGAGGTGGTCGGAAATTGGGTTATTTGGAGATTTTTGGTGGTTATTTTGTGAAATTAGTTTTTTCTTTCTTTGCTGAAATCAGTGAAGGGGTTTAATGCGATCGTGGTTCCTGTGAAGGGTTTATATGTGAAATTGGTACTTCATTGATAGAATCACGGGGTGAGTCTATCTAGATTAGTGCTGCTGTTGCCATTTTCAGGGTAGTTTGGTTCCGATAATTGTGGAAATAGCCCATTTTATGCAGCCATATCTGGAGAAGGAAAAGTGAGCTTGTTCTCTCCTGTATCTTCGAGACGGTTTAATTGTTGGGCTCATTGTGGAGTTATCGATTCTTTTGATATATAATAAACAAGAATGAGCTCCAATTCTTCAGACTGTGTAGTTCAAACGGGAAAGCTCGTGGTACATATTTCAGAGAATGGACACTCATATGAACTTGACTGTGGTGAATGTACCCTTGTTGAAGCTGTGCAAAGAAATTTAGAATCAGTTACGGGGGTACCATTCAATGATCAGCTACTTTTGTGCTTGGACATGAAGCTGGAACTGCAGCGCTCCCTCTCGGCTTATAAACTTCCATCCAACGACCGGGAAGTGTTCCTGTTCAACAAGGCTAGGATGCGGAGCAACACAACTCCTCCCACAATTGAGCAAGTTCAGATTATTGATATTCCTGATCCTCCTTTGCCATCGTCGAATAACAATCCTCACCCGTTAGATGAAGCTACTGACCCTGCATTAAAGGCCTTACCTTCTTATGAGAGGCAATTTAGGTATCATTTCCAGTATGGACATGCCATTTACAGCCGCACGATAGCGAAATTTGACATATGTGAGAGGCTCTTACGAGAGCAGAAGGTGCAAGAGAGGGCACTGGAGATTGCTTGGGGTAATTTAGATCATTTTTATAAGATGATTCTCCAAACCTACATGGATTTTATGAAGTGTTATTCACAGCAGCACCGCAGTCATAATAGCCTTCTGGTGAACTTTGGGAGGGATATGGAGAAACTGAGATCTATGAAACTTCTGCCTGCATTACAGATGGCTAACCGCAAGTGCTTACTTGACTTTGTGAGGGAAGAGAACTTGTGGAAGATGGTGGAGGATTGCAACAGTTCCCACAGGCAATTTGAGAACAAAGTTTCAGAATTTAAGCAGGAGTTTGGAGAGCTAAAGCACAATGTAGAACGTTTGTTTTCTAGCAAAGCTTCATTTCTTACTAAAGAATTGGATTTGACAATGAAAGACCACCAGCAGTTTATCAATGAGCAGAAAAGCATAATGCAAGCTTTAAGGTTACTCCTTTTCTTTCTGTGCAAATGTATACATTCTGCTGCCTGCGTCTTCTCACGTGTGTCTTGCTGCGTGTATTTAATGTTCTACTTATTTGGGTTCTTAAGCACTGTTAATGCTATAGCTTTCCTTTATCGATAATGTGTTTAAAATATATTAGTATGAATTATAGAAAGGAACCTACCATTCATAGGTTTTTTTATTAGGCTTCTGGATCACCGTGCGTAGATCATTCTTCTAGGGTGGTCATGCTGGATGAATACAAGAGTTTTTTGCCTTTATGCAATCCTCTTTTGTTCGCCTGTTATTACCGACTGGTAATAACATTAGAGCTTTGCAGTAGAGCTTTTAAAAAAGAGCTGCTGTTAACATTTTGATTGCCAATTTGAAAAGTGTTTTCATGTTAAATTGATTGTTTGACAGTGTAACGATAAAAGTGCTTTTATATAAACTACATATTTATTTAACTAAGCATTAATTATATCTCATAATATTTTCTATCATAAATAATTAAATAAACTATAGAATTTATTAAAATTATCATTTTAATTAAAGTATCATGGCACGATTAATATATATCATATTCTTAAAATTTATTTGTTTAAATTGTTCACATAATGTACAATTTTTATATATATTTTAACACACTAATGTATGACATAAATTTTTTATATGACGAGCTAATAAATAATTAAAATGATAAATATTGGTAAACATTAAGATAAAAACATGTCATAAACCCTCTTAAAATTAATTGATAATATTAGGAGTTAGAAAGTTGGTTTTTGGTTTTTGTCTATTTGATATATTGATGTGTACGAAAACTTGAATAAATTTGGAAATTTGAAAGTATCATTAAATGCAGATTTCAACTTCCCATAAAAGCTAAATTTGGAGCTTTTTAGAAAAGCTCAAAACTTATTGACTTTAGCCAAACATTCATAATTTTAACGAGAAATGCTTTTGCCCTCCAAAAAGCATTTTGGACTTTGGAAAAGCTCTCCTAAACACATGCTTATTCCTCTTGCATTTTCTAAAGTCTTCTTAATACTTATCGAATGACAGATTCCTAGCTGAGGCTTTAGTAGTTCACCAATATGTTAAAGTTTTTAAAAGAATGGAAGAAAAAGGAGATAGGCTTGAAGGGAGGGGGATGGAGAATTTGAAATTTGATTTTGAAGATACAAAGGAAAAGAGCGTGGTACTATTGTAAAGTAGTATTGAAGAGAACCGAAGGCATAAAAGAATGTGGTGTCTGGGCGACTAGCAAAGCTCATCATACAGCTCACCTTGGCACCGTTAATATGTGAAATTCAGATGTTCTTGGTCTTAGCTAATTTATAGTACTCAGATGGGTGACAGCTCTAGTTACCTTCCCCTAAATACAGCTTGACGCATAAAATTTCTTAGATATTACTCATAAACATTTATTATTTCTCTTCTTCATAGTTCTTGTTCTAATTTTGTGTGCTCAAATGTATATGTTTACTCTCCTCTTTCTCTTTTAGTTGATTGATGGTAATATGCATTTAATGACATGAGCATGTATCTATGCAGTAAAGACGTTAATACTGTAAAGAAGCTTGTGGATGATTGTCTTTCCAGCCAGTTATCATCTTCACTCCGTCCTCATGATGCTGTTTCTGCCTTGGGTCCTATGTATGATAGCCATGACTCAAATTACATTCCAAATATGCAAGCTTGTGACCGAGCAATTTCAAGTTTCCTTGATTTTTGTCAGGATAAAAAGAATGAAATGAATAGTTTTGTGCACAATTATATGCAAAAGATTGCATATATTCAGTATACCATTAAAGATGTGCGCTACAAGTTTTCTGTTTTCCAGGAGGCTCTGAAGTGTCAGAATGACCAATTTGATCCTTTAAAAGTTGTGCGCGGGATTGGTCCAGCATACAGGGCATGCCTGGCAGAAGTGGTGAGGAGAAAGGCTGCGGTGAAGCTCTACATGGGCATGGCTGGACAATTGGCTGAAAGGCTTGCAACAAAAAGGGAAGGTGAAGTTAGGAGACGCGAGGAGTTTCTTAAAGTACATAGTCTATATATACCTCGCGACATTTTAGCATCCATGGGATTGTATGATACTCCGAACCAGTGTGATGTCAATATAACTCCTTTCGATACTAATCTACTTGATATTGACCTTTCTGACCTTGACCGTTATGCTCCTGAGTCTCTTTTAGGACTGTCTTCCAAGCGTGAGAAGCATGGGACTTCGAAGAGTTCATTATCAACGTCTAATGATGGTTCTCAATCAGCCGAAGTTGAGGGAAGTGCGATGACGCTTTCTGAGAAATATGATTCTGAGGAGTTACTTGAAGGTTCAGACATGGTAGAGATTGCTGGTACTAGCAAAATGGAAGTTGAGAATGCAAAACTGAAAGCTGAACTTGCTTCCAAGATAGCCTTAATTTGTTCCATTAGCCCTGACTTTGATTATGAATCGCTTGATGATAGTAAAATAGACAGTATATTGAAAAATGCTGCAGATAAGACTTCTGAAGCTTTAAATCGGAAAGACGAGTACATAAAACATCTCAAAAATATGCTAAATAAGAAGCAAATTCAGTGTGAATCATATGAAAGACGGATTCAGGAATTAGAGCAAAGGTTGTCCGATCAGTATCTGCAAGGGCGTAAACCTTCAGTTGAGGAAGAAATATCCAACTTTGTGATTTCCACTGTACAATCTGAAAATAACAGGTTGGAAGTATTGGGAGTCGAAGCTCATATACCTCACACAATGGAAGAGGTTTCTTGTGCCTCTAGCTCCTCAAAATCAGGGCTTCTCTCTAAACAAGATAAGGTACGAGAAGGATTAGATGACAATATGACAGATTCTTCAAGTATTCTAAGCCCTCATTTGGATTCGTCGATGATGGATCCACAACAGGATGAAGAGCATCTTTGCGACAAAGATAAGAAAGAAACACTGTTTTCAGATGGGGGCATGGCATTTACAAGAAGTTCCATGGCCTTGAATATGTCTCAGCCCGTGGAGGATTTATGTGACAAAGCTGTTCAACCAGGTTTGGATGCTAAAGCAACTAATGACCTTCTGGAATTGCAGAGTGCCCTAGCAGAAAAATCAAATCAATTAGCTGCTGCAGAAACCAAGCTCCAAGTGCTGACAGAGGAGGTTTCCAAGCTTGGAAGTGAGCTGGAAATAAGTCGGAAGCTACTTGATGAATCTCAGGTATTACTAACTGAGATGAGAACTTTCCTGGTCGTTTTGTTTGTATGATGATTACAGACAACTTAATCAAATATCTTAAGACACCCCCTCCCCAGTAATGGACAAATCACTTGTTTCCAACAGGAGAGAAATTATGAGAATGATTTTGAAAGCATACCTTTTGGAGAATTTTTTAGAAGGAAGTCGGACTTTATTCTTTTCATATCCGGCTCAGGGCTGTCCCAATTTTTGAAGGGTTGAGTGAGTTTCTACTATTTGAGAGCGGCCTAATACATCGTAAATTGGTGACCTGCTGCTTTCATTCTCATCTTGCTAGTGGTAGATTGAAGACTTTATACTCCATGGATGCTTTGGCAATGAACATTAAGCCCATGTTTGGCTAATGTTTATAAAATGTTCATAATTGGTCGAACCACTTTTTATCCATCACCAACCTTACCTGTGCACCTAGATAATTACAAAGTACGCAATTCATGAGGATCTTATCGTGTTTAGTGAAGGGTTATCCTTAAATATTTATGAACTACTATGATTTGAAGGTATGCAGAGGTCCTGTTCCTAGGGGTCTGGAAAATCATAGAGTTGGTCTACGTAATTGAGATAAACAGCAGCAGCGCAAAACTAGTTAGTAACCCCAGCATTTTCTGTATTAAAAAAGAATCAAATGCAAACTATAATCAAACGTTGATGACAAACTTGCTGGTTTTTTAAGGTTGGGGCCCAATTTTCTGCTAGGGCAATAGCTTAGGGAACAATATTACAATTTTACACCATAGTAAATAATGTAGTGAGGTTTGGATCATCATTAAGATTTTTTGAAAGTTGAAACTATAGTACTTTTTGTCATTTAGCTTATTTGCTTGTGGGAGGTGGGATTAAAGCTAATGAGTTGGGAGAAGATGGAGATGGCTCTATCAACCTAAGTTTCGGGGTATCTGATAATTGGAGAATGAAATACTGATGCTATATTTGGAATATTATTATGAAGTACAAGTGATCTTCCTTTTTTTTTTTTTTGGTTAGGGGGGTGGGAATGGGGGAGCGTACAACTGACACAGCTAGCAAATAAATTATAGATTGACAGTGATATGAATTGAGAGCTTTTGCATCTTCCTGTGCTCCGATGTCCTTCTGCCCCCGGTTTTCTTTATTGTGCAAAAATGTGATGCATAGACTTGGAAAAGAATAGTGTACTACCTGATTAAATTTAACAAATTCCTATTCCACCAATAAGAAATTTGAATTTGAAGAGTGGGTATATAATTTGGTGCTTCCAGCCTTTAACAAATATTGGAACAGGCTCTTATCTTGAGATATCAAGGCTTGGTTTGAAAATACAAGCCTTGACTTTCTCAGAAGTATGATACGGATGGAGAACCTTGTTGTGCTGAAGTTTGAATTTTGGGTGAAACAAGAATTAAGAAAGTTTCTTGTTGAGGGGATGCAGTGCTTGCTACAAGACAATCTACTATTGAATGTTTTATTGGTTTTTGAAAATACACCAGCGCAGTTGAAATATTCTATTTATGGTTTTGCAGATGAATTGTGCTCATTTGGAGAACTGTCTACATGAAGCAAGAGAGGAAGCCCAAACCCATCTTTGTGCAGCTGATCGTCGGGCCTCAGAATATAGTGCATTGCGTGCCTCTGCAATTAAGACGCACAGCCTGTTTGAAAGACTAAGAAGCGCTGTCTCGTCTGCCGGGGTGGTTGCTTTTGCTGACTCTTTGTGTGCTTTAGCTCAATCTTTAACCAAGTACGTATCTTTCATTGTGCTTTTCCTTCTTGTAGTAATATTTTGAAGTCATGATGCAAACAACATATCTTACCCTCCTTTCTGTAAACCCTTCCCTCTCTGTCATGTATTTACGAGGTTTTTGGTTTAAAGTTTTAGGTTTTATTGGGTGCGTGGGCGGTGGGGTTTATGGATGTTGATGATTGTTTGAAAGGCCTTCCTTTTCAATTTTCAGTTCGAACAATGGAAATGACGATGATAGTACTGTTGAGTTCCGTGAATGTATCCGAGTACTTGCCAATAAAGTCAGTCTTTTGTCAAGGCATTGTGCAGAATTACTTGACAGATATACAAAAACCGAAGCTGAAATTGAACTGCTCAAGAAGGAAGTAGAAGATAAGAAAGAGTCAGTGAACACTTTATATGTAAAGCTTCAACTAGAGAAACAGGTATGTTACACTACTCCTCCGTAGTTGTTTGTAGATTCTCTTGTATCCCATCCGGGGTCTCAAATTCAGATATACGTTCAATTTTATGGCTGATTTTGAGATATATGAAAACAAATGATTTTGAACAGGCGAACAAAGAGAGGATATCTTTTGGTCGGTTAGAAGTCCACGAAATTGCTGCATTTGTTCTCAACTCTGCTGGGCACTACGAGGCTATCAATCGTAGCTGTCGTTATTACTATCTCTCAGCTGAATCTGTGGCCTTGTTTGCTACCCATCTGCCGAGTCATCCAAGCTACGTTGTAGGGCAGATTGTACATATCGAAAGACAGACAGTGAAGTCAACAACATTTGACCGAGCTGAGAATATTAGAGATCCAGTAGATTTACTTACCTCGGATACAGGAACCAGTGGGTTGACCTTGAATTCAGGATCAAGTTCGAACCCGTATGATCTCCCTCTTGGCTGTGAATACTTTGTAGTAACAGTAGCTATGTTACCTGATGCTACCATTCATATGTCACCAACTTCCTGATCTAGCGAATGACAGACGGACATGATGGAAGAAAAAAATCCAAGTGTAAATATATTATACATGTTACCAAAATATTATCTTTAGCAGGAGTTTCACTTGATTTTGTGTTTGTATAGTTTAACAACTAATTCAATACAATCCCTCCATTGTATATAATGATTCTTCTATTGAAACATGTAAAAATTTGTGAATATTGTGCCCCCATCACAGCCTTTGTGTAATGGAAGCCCAGAACTGTTTTCTAATGGTGTTTCTAAGAGTCCCGGGGAGAACTCCTTTCTAAAATGATGTTTCCCTGTGGCCAAACTCGAAGGGGCTGAAGTTTGACGGAAAGCTTGGAATTGTTCTGCCCAAGCTTTGAGCTTCCCGTATGTATTTGGATTGAACCACTTGAAAAACTGCAATTCCCTTCAAAACTCTCTATTTCCGGCCCTCACCAAAAGTTAGTAACTGTCTTGCGCTCGAGGATATCTTGCCAAAATTTATGCAAATGCTTCAAATTATCATGTAAAAGATTATGTAACTCGTTATCAGAGTCGAATACTTAGCCCCTGTTTGGTGTCGATTAAAATTTAAATTTTTATTTAAGTCAAAGTTAACAATAAATTTTAATCATGTATATTAGGGTCTCATAACTTTTCAACCACACATTTCATCAAATTCTATCAAAATCTACTAAAAATCTAATTTGTGTGAGTCAATTTGACCTTGTAATGTCTTGTAAAGTCGTCGTTTATACAAAAACATATGAATATTATAAGACAAATATCAGAATTATTTTTCCCCGTCAAATCACTCTATAACAATTCGTTGATAGTATATTTCGCCTATATATCCTCTACTATTACTATATAAATTACTATATAAAATATATGAAAGCAAATAAATGCACACATCACACGTCATGTCTTACATTTAATTTAGAGTTTCTACAACTAAAACATGCATATAATAACTATTTTCCATGTTTTTATATATTTAACACAGTTTTTTTTTTTTTATAACTTTTAACATTGTCCAAACACATAAAAAGTTTCCTAACTTCATGTCTTTAATGGAAAGAAAAAGCAAGAGGGGTAGAAGAAGAGAGAGCAATTAAATTCATATATTGACAAGTCGATCCAAATTTCAACTAAGGATGCACAACCATCCGGAAATTACCTCGATTCAATCTCCAACTGCAATCTATTGTCTATAGCGTCGTGTTATAAAAATGAGTAATGTTGTTCAGAACCATTTTAAACAAAAATTCAGAATTTCTTATGATATTTCAAGCATCAATAAAAGAAAAGCAAATATTTGCAAACCAGCAAAATGCATGGTTACCTGAGAACCGGTCCGAATTGCACTTAAAATAACCGCTTAAATCATTCAACTAAGTGCTTCACTCAAATGTTGAGTCCAATTTCAGCAAGTATGATCCCCTCCTTCCAAAAGAAGACATTTATGCAAGTTAAAATCCTTCATTTAGTTTAGCAATCAATTATATCTCGATTGACATAGGGCTCGTTTGGCACGACTTGTAAGAAGTCAAAAGTTGCTTTTGAGATTCAAAAAGCTGTTATTGAACTCGTTTGACTAATTTATGAAATTGCATCTTCTAATTAGAAGAGTTTTTTTTTAAAAAAAATTGATATAACACTTTCACAATAGGAATCTCTTTTAAAAAATATTTCCTAATAAAAATAAAGATAGTTTCTCCAGAAAACTCTTCTACATAAAATAAAAGCAAAATACCCTTCCGATTTGTTATTTGAACCAAAGAACCAGTGATTCAATATGACTAATGTTATTTAGCCCATTTTTGGTCCGGATTAAAATCTGATTTTAATTCAAGTTAAAGTCAAACAATCAATATTAACCATATCTTTTTTGGGTCCCACAACTTTTCAACCACACATTTCAAAAACTTCTATCAAAATCTACTAAAAATCTAATTTTAATCCCTATCAAACACTCTCTTAGTACTATTGGTGCTTAGCATCAGTTTGGGTGGCAATTATATGTCATTAAATGATAGATTCAATTAAATGCAAAGTTAAAATATCTATTTAATTGCACCTATCGAGTATGTCCACCTAAACTGATAATAGATGGCATTATTCGTTCAATAATTTGTTCCGGATTATGGTCGCATCAAGTTTAATTAATACTCCAAATGTCTAACTCATATCTATTCTATCAACCAAAGGACCCACAAACTGTCGGCACGAGCTGTAATGCATTTGTCTGTCACAAATTTAAGAAAATAAATCTTAAATTTAATATGAGTTAGCTACGTAAATTTATTTTCTCGCATAACTCGATCTACTGTAAAAATTTTAGAGGTCCTAAACTTAAGGAAGAAATAAGAATTTTTATGTCCTCCTTCCCTTCCCTTCCCAACACTAAGAAAATTCCAATGAAATAAAGTATTTTGCAATCATGTCGAAAACACATTAATTTTAGTGCACTTCTTTCCTATTCATTTTTTGAATAATAGCATACTACTTTGACCATAGCACTCTCATAAGAAAATTCCAATGAAATAAAGTATTTTGCAATCATGTCGAAAACACATTAATTTTAGTGCACTTCTTTCCTATTCATTTTTTGAATAATAACACTCTACTTTGACCATAGCACTCTCATAAATTGAAAATGATTTAGATTGACAAAGGCAGGTGTTATCATTATCTCTAACTCATATGATTTTAGAGAAAATTACACAACTGGTCCTCCAATCTATTGTTTGAATAGTGAGTTGCTCCCCAAACCTTTCGTTATGCTTCCATCTTACATGGAGTCTTAGTTGATATCATGTAGGGATCACGTTGAAATTATTGCCACATAAGAACAACATTGTGGTTAGCTCTGCATGGATAGATCAAGGATGAGGACTGCCCATCAAGAATGTGATTGACCCCTCAAGGATGAGGCTTACCATCAAGAACTTGCCTACACCGCAAGGTTGAGGCTGACCCTCATGAGTTCTTGCTCAAGTGATGAAGCCTTGGGTCAGGGCCTTGCTTTAAGTGATGAGGATGATCCTCATGAGTCCTAGCCTAAGTGATTAAGCCTTGGGCTTGACTTGCTTAAAGTGATTGACGCACAAGCTTCAATGATGAGATCGAGCTCCGCCTTGGGTGATGAAAAGATGTGAGGATATGAAGGATTTGGATGGTTTCCATTGTTGGGGATTGATTTTGCACCTACGAAAAAGTTAATAAGCAATTTGCTCATTGCTAAAAGGTGATGACAAATTTGTTACTCAAGCAATAGGCGAAAGACCAATTTCACTACATCTCTACTTGGATACATCACACGAACTAGAACTAGAACTAGAACATAATTAACTGGGTAACAGAGTCATGCAAACATTTTTTTTCTTCCATGTTTTGGATGATTGCTATGTCCATGTTCGGTAGAGATTAAAATTAAACATTTAGTAGATTTTGATAAAAGTTGATGAAATGTGTAGTTGAAAAGTTATGAATCATATGAAATGTGTGTTTAAAATTAATTGTTGACTTTGACTTTATACAGCACAGACGGACACACATGGGGTCATGAGGGGTCAAGTGACCCCACAAAAATTTTTAATTTGATTTTTTTTTTTTCAAAAATTCCTACCCCTAACTGCTCATGTTTACGGACTACAATTTACTATATTCTTAAAAAGAACCTCCTTCAATATCAAATAAACCCTCTTTCAATCTCCAATTTCAATTTCTACACTTTAATTAGGGTAGGTATTTAATGTTTATGTGTGATTTTCTCTCCTTTTTCCTTTACTTTTCCTATCCCTTTTCATCTAAATTTGTTTCTTATCATTGGGATTTGTATTGTAATTGGATTTGGGCTTGGGCTTGGGCTTGTGTTGTCTGGCGTTGAGTGAAAGCAGATGAAGTATATAACCTGTAGTCTATGCTATTGCTGAAACATGTTATTGCTGAAACAATGAAAGAATGACAATGTTTGGTTCAGATTAAAATCTAATTTTAATATAAGTTAAAGTCAAATAATTAATATTAATCACATCTTTCATGGGTCCCACAATTTTTCAACCACACATTTCAAAATTTTTTATCACAATTTACTAAGAATCTAATTTTAATCCCTACCAAACACACTGGAAATCTTAGATCCTTTATTGTTGAAGATAAAACGACACCACAATAGACAAAAGAAACGATGAAATCAAAAACAGTGCACATAGACCAATACGGATAAGGTCCAATCAGACAATTAAAAACCCAAGTGTCGGCAAAGAAAAAGACACTTTACAAGTGTCCATTGACCCAAAACAGTTGGCCCAATCCAACGGCTCATTTAGAAAGTTACAGGAAATTTCATGATGGTGGGGCCCAATATCTCATCCGCGTTTCACGGTCTTTCTTATCGCAGCCAGCTGTTATGTGAGTCGCAATTGGTAAGCTTAATTATTTGCCTTAATTAACACTACTGATTAGGTTGACTGACGAAACTCAATTTACCACAAAATTGTAAAAATTAATTAGGATGGAAGTTTTTCCAAAAATGACTGGAGATCACGAAACCAATCGAATTAGTCGACCGACTAGGTTTGAATTCACTTAAAATTTTCAATTTTAAATATGGAGAGAGAGAGAGAGAGAGAGAGATGAAATTTTGACAAGTTTGATCTCATAATATTCATTCATCCGAAATTGATCTCCTTCCATTTTCACTTTTCGTAAGCGAGTCAAACCTCTTTTATGTAACATTGCTCCTTTCACATAATTCTGCATACTCGTTAAAATTTAGGATTTGACAAAACTCCCGAATCGAACTAAATCGAACTAAACCCAAACCAACTGGATCGGACTGAAAGTTCTTTTTAAATTAAATATCCGAACTTGTATCTAAATCAAGAACAGACGAGTTCGGTTCGGTACTAAACCTAGAACCGAAGAATCGAAGAAGAACCAAATCTTCCTAATTTTTTTTTGATTTTTTATCTTAAATAAATTAAATTATTTTTTTCTAAATGAATTTGCTAA